ATATATATATATATATATATATATATATACACACACACACATATGTGTGTGTGTGTGTGTGTGTGTGTGTGCGGGTGGGGGGGATTATTTTCCTGGAGGTGAAAAACGTTATCTTTATCAAAAATATGGTTCCTGGTGTAATTTTTACCAATTATGTATGTGACAAATGCAGCATAAAATAACTTAAAAATAGTGTTAAGCTATTGATATTCAGGCACTTGTGTCATTTATTGCATTTGTTTAAATGTATCTCTAAATATAGTATATTTCAAATTATAAGTGTAGTTTGTCCACCTTTATTCATGCACTTCATTTAAAGGTTCAAGGACTTGGCAAATGTTTTTGACATAAAGCACCATTTGGTACGTGCACACATCATGCTAGGATTATGTTTGGTAGGAGAGAAAGCAAACTGCCATGAGTAATTTTTTATTTACATAGAAATATTGCTAATTGTATACTTCTGTCCTGTTGAAATAAGAATGAGGTGATTATAAAGGCAAATGATTCAGAAATGAGCTCCTGAATTAGGCAGAGAAGGAAACGACACATGCCAGGAAAATACAGTTACAGCCAGTGTTCAAACTATAGAGAGGCTCAGAAGGGGAACAAAGAGACCTCCTGCTGGGTGACACAGTCCTGAGTATGGGCTCCATCTGCACACTGCTCATCTACACTCATTACGCTGATTAATCACCCCACACCACCCACTTTCAGCCACACGCCAATCACCATTTGTCTTCATAGACAGATGTACACACATACAAATGAGGGCAAATGGATAGCTTGGCAAATCATTATACAAAGGGATTTACAGTCTCGGTAATGTTAGGAGTGGGTGCATGCACCTCAAATAATAGCAAGCATATTACATTTTAGCAGTGGTTGAATAGTTCCATCAGGAATAAGCCAAGCACGGTGGCACAGTTGGTAGAGCTGCCGCCTCTCAGCAAGCAGGTCGCCCTGATTCAAATCTCTGTGTGGAGTTTGCGTGTTCTCTCCATGCATTAGTGAGTTTTCCCCGGGCACTCTTGTTTCCTCCCACAGACCAAAAAAAAAAATGCACGTTAGGCTAATTGCTGACTCTAAACTGTCCCTAGATGAGAGTGAGAGTGAACGGTTGTTTGTCTCATTTGTTTCCATGAGTGTCTGTGTGTCAGCACCTCCAAATCTGAGGCCATGGTCTTCAACCGGAAAAGGGTGGATTGCTCTCTTCAGGTCGAGGGTGAGGTTCTACCTCAAGTGGAGGAGTTCAAGTATCTTGAGAATTTGTTCACAAGTGAGAGAAGAATGGAGCGTGAGATTGACAGACGGATTGGTGCAGCATCTGCAGTATTGAGGATGCTGTACCGGTCCATTGTAGTGAAGAGAGAGCTGAGCTGTAAGGCAAAGCTCTCTGTTTACCGGTCGATCTACGTTCCTATCCTCACCTATGGTCATGAGCTCTGGGTAGTGACCAAAAGAATGAGATGGCAGATACAGGCGGTTGAAATGAGCTTTCTCCGCAGGGTAGCTGGACTCTCC